TTGGATTCCCCAAACATTCAGCTTTAATATGCATCTTTTGGATTCATTCTACGTATTATAGTTTTCGTGAAAATCAATGAAATATGAAAACACTGCTTTTTCGAGCATTTTTTCAACTTTGAACGCGAATTACAGCCAAACGGAAAAAACCACAGTAATATATAAACACATGCTGGATTCCCCAAACATTCAGCTTTCATATGCATCTTTTGGATTCATTCTACGTATTATTGTTTTCTAGAAAATCAATGAAATGTGAAAACACTGCTTTTTCGAGCATTTTTTCAACTTTGAACGCGCATTACAGCCAAACGGAAAAAAACACAGTAATATATAAACACATGTTCGATTCCCCAAGCATTCAGCTTTCATATGCATTTTTTGTATCCATTCTATCTATTATAGTTTATTTTTTAATTATTTATTAATAAAAAAAAATAATACCGAAATTATGCGTATTCATAATAAATATTGTTTTGTTTAGAATTAGTAAACGTCACATCTCTAGTGTGTAAACAAAACATCTAAATGTAACGACGCACTTTTTAAATCCTCAATTGCAAAACTTATCCCTCGGTTAAATCGTTTTTTTTTCCTGTCATTTAGTCATGATATTAATAGGAACACGTGTGTCTAAAATCGTTTATTACTCATCACTGAAAACTAAAATAACTAATAAAGTATACAAAATTAATAAATTGTAAAAAAAAAATAATGAATTAATGGAAAAACTGTTTCGATTTGATCAAAGACAGAATGTTTACACTTTTCAAAATCAATTTTATCGGAATAAAATAAATAAAGCATATTTATTAATCAAACGTTTGAGTCTTATATTTACTTTCTCAGAGAGAAAAAATGTGTAGAATGTTTAGTAAATCGTTTACTGAAGTCTGGTATCAAACATAATTTTGTGTTAACGTAAATAGAAGCAATCTAATCAGGTGCGATTTTCTGGTAATTACTAATGCTTGCACATCCTCAGTTTTATCACCGTTATTTATTCATTAATTCACAAAGATAACGGTGAAATAATGGCAATATTTTTGTGTTTCCTTTCGATATTCCAACATTCATGTATTGTTGTTATGAAATCATCAATTTGCATTAGTAACAAATACTTTTTGAAGAGATAATATAGAAATCTTTAAGATTGTTCAAAAAAATTGTTAAAATTTAGTTAGAAATGAATTCTCTAATGTTTATTTTTCTTATTTAATTTTCGTAACTGAACTGTTGAAATTGCTATGAAAACTTGAAAATCAACTTGGAATACTTTTGTATTTAAATACAAAAAAATAAGTTGTTAATAGTTTTAGGTAACTTTTAATGAGATTTAAGGATAATTATTTGCTTTTAAATAGAAATAATTGCGAGCCTGCTGAAAAGATAAAGATTTGTTTATTTATGTAACAAAAAAAAATGTATGAAAAATGTTAATTTTTAATTGTCAGCTGTTGAAATACTGAAGAGATGTTAAATGTGACAAAACTTTAAACAAATTGCAAAAAAAAAATATATAGCAACAAAAGCGAACGATTGGCTTCGAATATATATATCTCTGTGCGTTATCTAATCTTATCGCTTGAAGAAAAAAAAAAAACCCTGCGATTTCAGTGTTGTGTGTGCGCGAGAGAAAGTGACGAAGTTTAAATTAATAAGTGTGGGTTTTTGATGAGAAGGAGCAGCGCGTTTTTTCAGTTCAAGTGAAATGCGCGAGTGAAATGATGATGTCGAGCAAAACGAAGAGCAAACGCGTGAGTCGTCTGATATCGCACTTCGAGAATTTGACAATTTCCACTGATGAGAAGAGCGTCAATGGGAAAGAGCTGTGGGAGACGACGCAATCGCAGCCTCAGCTCAAAAGGTGCAGCTCTTTATTTGAAGATGATTCGGTCGAAGATATCAGATGGACGTACGCTCATGATACGACGAAATCGGTGATTAATTATGATGCCGATGATGATGATGACGATGATGTGATTGAAGTGAAGAGGTTCAATTCGATTGACAACGATCGTGGTGGCAGCATCGAAGACGTCAGGAGTCAGGCGATGATGTTGTGCGAAGAGTACGCGAAGAGTTTACAATCTTTGGGCAGCGATGATGTTGTTAAAGCGGATGAAGAAAGTGTTAAAGATGAGGAGTGTTTGCAGCAGGTGGTGCACGATAAGCTTGAAGTTCTTGAGAACATCTTCGCTTACAGCGATGATGATGATGATGAGGAGGATGAACCTCTTTACATGAACATCGATTTCCACGTGAAATCAGAGAATTCTTACAGGAGTTCGGGAAGCACGGTGAGCGTTGAAATGGAGCCGAGTGAAATGCACGAAGAACCAATTTACGAGAACGTTCAGATGTTGAGTAATTTGCGGAGGAACGCAAGCACCACCGATTTAGTTACCATGAGGAGCCATGCGAAAACTCCGGAGGATGATCAGGATCAGGAGAAGAGGGCGCACGTCGTGAAGACAATCTACGACAGCATGCAGAACATCAGGATGCAGATGGTTTCGGCTGTGCATGTGAACGAGATCAGGAAGAGCATCAACAAGAGCAAAATGGATTACATCGTCGAGGAGCTGATGCACACCGAAATCAAGTATCTGGAGAGTCTCGAATACGCTATAAACGTAAGCAGAAATCTATGATAAAGTTAACGAATCAACTTTCCAATTTTCAATCTTTTAGAATTACAAGAGTTACGTGACGGAGCGCTTCAAGAACGGCCCGAAAATAGCCGAGAGGATGTTCTGCAACATCGAGCAAATTTACAAGCAAACCAGCGCTCTTCTTGAAGAAATCAAAGCCAAGAAAGATAAATACGAGGAAGTGGGGAAGATCTTCAAGAAACACGTACGTCTGCCAAAGCAATCAATTTCTTTTGTTGTAATAATCTGTATTTGTTGATTCAGAAAAACTTATTCGATTTGTATCCGGTTTATTGTCGGAATAAGCAAGAATCTAACAGATTGGTAACAGACATCTTCAAGAATCCAATCCGAGTGAGTTAATTCGACTATTTTGATGTCTTCATTTTCTTAATTGTGTTAACTTTTGTTGGGAAGAAACGCGAAGAGGAATTGGGCGACAAATTGGGTCTGAGCAGTTACCTGCTGAAACCGGTGCAGAGATTGGGTAAATACGAATTGCTGCTGAAGAATCTCAGCAAATGCATGAAGAAAGATAACCAGAGCACGGATCACGTCGACGCTGCAGTCGATATCGTCGTGAGGTCGTCGAAAAGGGCCAACGATTTGCTCACACTTAAATACATCTCGGATAATCCGCACTCGTTCAGGGAAACCGGCGAGTTTATATATCAAGACACCTTCCAGATCCTTCAGCCCAAACGCATGGAGATGGAGGTGTTGCTCTTCAAGAAGATGGTCATATTCGCAACGCGCGATTCCGTACGTTCCTCATCTTTTAACAATACTTAATAACAATTTTTTTATTGCAGAAAGACTCCGAAAGTCTACAATATCACCACTCTATAGACAAGAACTCTTTGTCGATCAAACATAACGAAGATTCGTGCACTTTCCGATTGAGCAACTACTTTTTGCAGAAGAAAGACAAATACAATGATTATAAATTGAAAGCCAAAGATTTTCACACCAAAGAGAAGTGGACCAAAGCTATTTTCGATCTGCTTTGGGAGCAACTCAATAATCAGAAAGGTAAAGCTTTTCTTTTTCATCACAAATTATTGGAATTATTTTACACGAATTTTGCAGAAGAGTTATCGAAGCAGCGACGATATAGCGAAGCGTACAAAGATGTACAGCGAGACAAAGAGAACAACGTGATCGAAAGTGATATCGTCCTTAAGAATTCAACATTTTATACATCCCGTAAATGATATTTTATACAACAAAATTTTGTTATTATTTATTGATTTTTTTTATATCTATATATATATATTAATAAGTGTATATTTAACTTAAAAAAATTTGATTTTCTTTGTTTTGATTTAATTTTCAAACTTTCGTTTCACAAATTTCAAGAATAATCAATTTCTTGTCGATAATCTAGACAACGAAAACATCTTTAGATTATATTTTATCGAATTATCGAGAAATGCGATATGATTGTATGAAATATGTGATGATAACGGTAATCCTATGACATCTATACTCTAGACGCTGAAGCTTACAGTTCGCGTCATCGTGTCTAGATGGCGATAGTATTAAGTTTGTGTTGTATACAATTACGATTATCTAATAAATCCAATTGGAACGTTAATAAAAACAATTGCACGTAGAAAAAGTATTGTATTCTTTAATAATTATATTATTTTCAATTTTTGACGTTAACGCAATAAAAACAATGCAAATTGTTAATAAAAAAATGTATATTTTATTAACATTTTTTTTTTAATTTATGTTAAATAAATTGGATTAAATAAAGGAAAAAGAAGAGAAAATTGTAATTAGTAAATTGAATTATTTTTATAAATTAGTAAAAAAAAAGGATAATAATTGTGATAATAATAATGTAAAATGTAATGCATACATAAGAATTATTACCAACTGAAAAAATATAATTACTCATTTTCAAATTAATGTTAATTTGGTTGTAAGTACCAATCCAAATTAGGTTATTTCAAATTTTTGACGTTGACGTAAAAAAAACAATGCAAATTGTCAATCAAAAAATGTATAGTTTATAAACATTTTTTTTTAATTCATGTTAAATAAATTGGAGAAAATAAAGGAAAAAGAAGAGAAAATTGTTGCTAATTAGTAAATTGAATTATTTTTATGAATTAGTAAAAAAAAAAGATAAAAGTTGTGATAATAATAATGTAAAATGTAATGCATACATAATAATTATTACCAACTGAAGAAATATAATTACTCAATTTCAAATTAATGTTAATTTGGTTGCATATTGTAAGTACCAATCCAAATTGTGTTAGTTTAAATTTTTGACGTTGACGTAAAAACAAACAATGCAAATTGTCAATCGAAAAATGTATAGTCTATAATCTTTTTTTTTTAATTTTTGTTAAATAAATTGGAGTAAATAGAGGAAAAAGAAGAGAAAATTGTTGCTAATTAGTAAATTGAATTATTTTTATGAATTAGTAAAAAAAAAGGATAAAAGTTGTGATAATAATAATGTAAAATATAATGCATACATAATAATTATTACCAACTGAAAAAATTTAATTACTCATTTTCAAATTAATGTTAATTTGGTTGCATATTGCAAGTACCAATCCAAATTAGGTTATTTTAAATTTTTGACGTTGACGTAAAAAAAACAATGCAAATTGTCAATCAAAAAATGTATAGTTTATAAACATTTTTTTTTAATTTTTGTTAAATAAATTGGAGTAAATAAAGGAAAAAGAAGAGAAAATTGTTGCTAATTAGTTAATTGAATTATTTTTATGAATTAGTAAAAAAAATGGATAAAATTTCTGATAATAATAATGTAAAATGTAATGCATACATAATAATTATTACCAACTGAAAAAATATAATTACTCATTTCCAAATTAATGTTAATTTGGTTGCATATTGTAAGTACCAATCCAAATTATGTTATTTATATAAAATTACTTATTTTCAAATAAAATCGAGAAAATATAATTATTATAAATCATGGATTTTTTTTGTCTCTTTTGACAATAATTCGATTTTTTTATTTCATTTGTTAAAGTTGTTCTTGAAGTTTAAAAACAATAGATCATATAAAAATATTAATTATATATCTTGATATGAATATATTGATTGCGAGAATTCAATAAAACTGAAGAATTTTTAAACTGGAGATTTTTAAAATGTAATTAGTCTTAATGTAATATTGGCTGCATAGCTTTATGATAAAAATCGTTAACGCCATCTCGAGTTAATATGATGCAGTGATATGCAAATCGTCGTCGGTGCAAGCTTTTAGAGAGTCGCCGCACTAATGGATCATGTTTCACGATAAAAAGACGACGACGACGAAACTGTTTTGAATGCAATTACGTCCTTGGAATGAAGCGAAAACAACAAAAAAAAAAAAACAACTATGAGAAAGAAACGGAGCGCATATGAAAACGTAATGTAAGTTGTTTAGTTGCACTAAATCCGGAGAGTTGTGTAATGAGTTGTGCTTTCGGCGCGCGGAAGAGTCTTTTGTTAATGAGCATTATTTAAGCCCCCTCGAGGCTGGAAAAATCTAAAAAAAAAAAATCTAAATGTGAGTACGAGTGTGTATAAATAAACGGGGGCTTCAACCCCCCCAAAAAAAAAAATTACCCATTAATTCCATTTCCATTACATCATTATTCCAATTTCTTCGAACAATTCAAGGGTGTGATATATACCAGAGGGTGTAAGAGAAAGGCAATGAGGTTGTAGTGATGTTCATTTAAAATTCAAAGTTGTGAACCAAAAAAGAAATATATGCACGCGCGCGCTTGCCATCTGAGTTATCGGGTGGTAAATGGAAAAAGTCGACGCGGAAATCGATCAGAAATTAGCATTACGTAATGGGCCGGCCCTCCATCAAGAGCAGCCATCCATTTGTTCTTCTTTTGTTCCGTTTTCTTTCGCGCGCCCCCTTCGTTTTTTATTTCATTTTTGCATACACACAGCCTTCTCGACATTCAACCACGACAATTTGAAGTGTCGACGACTTAATTTATTCCACGTTCTCCTTTTTAATTTTAGATCAGCGGCGGCTGAGATGGAAGGCGAGAAAAATAGAAAGAAAAAAAAATTGAAGTGAGTGCAGAACATGAATAAGGAATGAACGGTGACAGGGACACACGCACAAAATAAAGCCTTCTGCGTTTACTTGGAAGAAGGACAGACTGAAAACTTTTATATTAAAAAAAGTATATGTATATATATACAAAAATCAAATATTCTTTGAATTCTAAACTCGATTACAAAAGAGAAAACATGCATTCTTTTCTATACTTTTCCATAAACTGTCAATATTTTTTTTTATATATTAAAATTGGAAACTTTTGATAAATTACAGTTTTATGTCTTCTTTTAGAAAAATAGTTTCTTGTAGATTTTTATTGTATTTATTTTCAAATTTTGCTTTGCTCATATTTCAGCAACTTTCAGTTATTTCTCAATAGGGAGAGCAAGAGTTAAACATAACATATTTGTGATTAAATAATCTTAAGTATTTAGTGAATAAAATAGTTTTTGTATATTTGTTTTTAATTTTACGCTAGATGTCGCATCAATAATTTATGTAATTTTTTATTTTACAAATTTGTATATTGTACTATTACGTATTATAATTGTATTATTGTATAATTTTTATTCTATTTGTTATATTACTTTCATTAATTTTCGCTAGATGTCGCATGGTTTTTATTTTTTGTATTACCAATTTGTAATACTCAAATGTTTTAAAATCATTACGTATTTCTTTATTATATTTAAATGTCTTTATTTCTACTAGTCAAATTGCTTTAATTGATTTACGATAGATGTCGCATCCATATGTTATTTGTTTCATTTTAATTCCAATTCAAATATACTCAAATTTCTAAATTTTAAAAATTACGTATTATTATTGTCTATAACTTTGTTTCTATCCTATTTCTTCTGAGACTTTCATTAATATTCGCTAGATGTCGCATGTTTTTTTTTATAATTTATGTCGCATGGATTTTTTTTGTATTGCCAATTTGGATATACTCAATTTTTTTTAAACCATTACGTATATCTTTATTATCTTTACTTCTTTCACTAATCAAATTACTTTTATTGATTTACGATAGATGTCGCATTCATATTTAATTTATTTCATTCGAATTCAAATATACTCAAATTTCTAAAATTATTACGTATTATCATTGCATATATCTTTGTTTCTATCCTATTTCTTCTGTTACTTTGATTAATATTCGCTAGATGTCGCATGGATTTTTTTTTATAATTTATTGAAATACTAATTCGAATATACTGGAAACTTCTGGTATCGTTACGTATTGTTTTTTTTATTTATTTGTTTCTAATTGTCATTTTACTATAAGTAAATTTACGATAGATGTCGCATTCATTTGTTATTTATTTCATAGTAATTCCAATTCAAATATACTCAAATGTATAAAATTATTACGTATTATTATTGTATATATCTTTGTGTCTATTCTGTTACTTTCATTAATATTCGCTAGATGTCGCATGGATTTTTTTTTATAATTTATTGAAATACTAATTCGAATATACTGGAAACTTCTGGTATCGTCACGTATTGTTTATTTCTATTTCTTTATTTCTACTTGTCACTTTACTATAATTAATTTACGATAGATGTCGCATCCATATTTTATTATTAAACCAATTCGAATTTACTCACATTAACTAAAATCATTACTTATTATTTTCTACAGTTGGCAATTTGACAAACAAATTGCTAACATTTGTCAAATTGCTTTAATCAATTTACGCTAGATGTCGCAACTAATGTTTTCTACATTTCATCATAATACCAATTGAAAATGTGCTCCAGTATCACCAGTATAATGATCTCATTTAAAGTTATGCGATAATCCCGTTCGGCGCGTATAAATCACGGACATCGGCTACAATTTTTAATGTTATTCGCACCCCCGCAAAGCCGCAACGGGATTAAAGTCATCGCAGACTCGAAACCGATTCCTCTTTCTTCCTTCTCACGTTCAACATCTCTTCACTAATAAATTTATCACACGTCTTCGCTCCCTACGAGGAAAAAAAAATAATATAAGTTTGCTTTTAATTTCAGATCAGAAATGATGAAGGGATTCTTCTCCTCCTATTCCTTTCACAAGAAAAAACGTTACCGAATCATAAATTCATTTGGGGAATTCCACTTTTCGTTTTTCTTCCTCTCATCTCTTTTCGTTTTCATTAACA